TGTGTATGCCACCTTCACAATAAAAAAAGAAACGCAAAATGTAACTGAACAGTTAGTGACTGATGATCGAAGTAGAACACATTATTTGGATCGTGATGGCGTGTGGTCTTGTGTGGACAAAAAAAACAAAGACGTATGGTTCTCAATTTGACATGAAAAACTACATCTTAAACTGACAACGCACTTATGGACAGTTTGGACTTGATGGTAACAAACTCAGCTCGTGACCAAACGTCGCTTTACGAAAGTGACTACAGCTCCACTGAAATCACCGTATTCTCTCTAGTCAGCACTGTTCTATTTGACTGAATTAAGATGACTGGAACATTCCAGCTGCCGTGGAAAGCTAAAACATGGCGCTCAAAAGTCCGAGAACTGACCGAAAACACAGATTAAACAATATAACAAAGGCGTCTCCGTTCTTATTGTCTCAACTAACAAACCTAAGATTGTCGAGCTAACAAACCTACGATGGTCAACTCTCAGGTCGCTGCGACGAACTCAACCAGTGAGAAGATAGAGACAAACTGAATTTTCGGTAATTGAAAAGGACCACACTCCTAAGATTTTAGTTCAAAGTGACCAAGAATAAACTTCTGAGACAACACATCAATATATACTTAGATGTTTGAGCCTTTTATAAATAAATAAAGTTTTGGAAGGATAGATGTGATATTTAAAAATATCATGTATGGTTTTTTTCCCTGCTATATTTCTGTTTCTTGTTGTTTTTTTATTCTTTCATAATTCATTTTTAACGGTATTTTCTGCTAGATCTCAGCTAATAACAAGTCATAATGATAACAACAATTTTTCTTTACCGCATCTAACACTTAATGTCACAGAAGAAGCTCAAAATACCAACTTGATTTTACTTTAGTTGACAAACATTCATGAAATAATAGACACGAGATGTCGTACTGTTGACACTGGTTTCCTAGCAACGCAGCGTGAGAATCTTCCCACCTGCGGGCAAGCAGTATATGTACGTGTGCTGGAGCGACAGATAGCTACTACATGGTGGGCACCTTTCCAACTGCTGAAAAACAGCGTAACGTAAGGCTGTCGGCCCGATCTAATTGAATGAATCTTCTAGAACAGACGTTAACAGTTAAAAATATCCTGACAAGTGGCATTGATCAATAGAAATAGTGTCTTTAAAAAGTCATAAAAATAAAGGACTTCTAAGCTTTAGTTTCATAGAAATAGTTCCAGAAACAACTAACTCCTTCACTGGGTTTCAATCAATGTTTAGTATAAAAAAATGCATTTTAACCGACACGAAATATGTTATCAAGCCGATATAACAGAAGGTGTAACACTGGTTTATAAAAATGGAACCGAACCGTTTTGTCTTTTGAACCTATAGTTTAGATAAGTCTATATTGTGTAGATAGCTGCATGTATAAACTAGTTCGTGCATTGTTACTCTTCGTTGGTGTTCAAAAATGCCCTTGTCACTGAGAGATACAAACTTTCTCTTGATGCGGATTAATGGAACCACAAAGTATCATACGGTTCTATATAATAATAATCATTTGTATATATGTGTATACACATACACATACATACGTCTGTGCGCTGCCTTATGTGTTATTCTTGCTTATGAATATTTTATTCACAAGCAAGTGGAAATTTCCATAGAAAGTGAATTTTGAAAGAACGTGTTGGCGAGAACGAAAACAAAACTGTGAGTGACGTATTGAAAAGACAAAACCAAATTTATAACATAAAACACAGGTTTTTATTACGTTGAATAATTACTTTGGGATTTTCTAAACAATTTCTCTAGCTATAATTGCTGCACGTAATTTGAAATAACTATGAATTTAATTAAAAATCAAATTGAAATTGGAAACGAGACTTAGAGGAGGATATTGTAAAATATACAATCTGGTAGCTGATAGAAAGAGTGTAAATAACACGTATATCCCTCTGCATTGGTGGGGGCCTGGCATGTCGTAGTGGTTATGGCGCTCCATTCGTAATCAACAGGTCGTGGGATCGAAACCCATCACCAAACATGTTCGCTCTTTCAGTTGTGTTGGCGTTATAATGTGAAAGTCAATCCCACTATTCGTTGGTAAAGAGTAGCCCAAGAGTTAGAACTGGGTGGTGATGAGTAGTTATCCACTCTCTTGTCTATTACCTCGTCTAGTCCTCGTGTTCTTTGCACGAAATTCAACAAATAAACAAACAAAAAAGTACTGATGAGGTGTTGAAAACAAAAGTACCAAGAGTGTTGACGCTAGAAAATCTAAAAAAAAAAACGGAAAAAAAATAACCCGAGCACTGCAACAGTAAAATCACAGCATTCCAAGAAAAGATATTTCTACGTCATGAAGAGAAAATGGGATTAGGTGGTGAAGCTAGAAACAATATAGAAAACACTTCCAGGAATAGGATTTCTTGTTTATAACAGATCTAAGTACCACCCTGATGAGCCCTGGTATTGGACGAAAATCCTCGTCGACACTGACTGATGTAGTATGGTTGACATATTGTAGCATATTCGCCTTTGCTTTCACTCAGTGTATTTAAAACTACCTATACAAACACTTATATGATATAGGGGTGTGAAGCAGGGTCCAACATTTACTAGGAAAGGACACACCCAAAACATATTCCAGGACATTAAACAGAAAACACAAAGACCTAAAGCCAAACAAAACCAACGAAATGGCATCAAAATATTTCACAGCAATTACTCAACATGTTCCAGAACACGTCACCACTTAATTGGAAAGTTCAAATCACGATATCAACTGAACAGTTTATATTAAATTACAAAGATTAATATATTATAGTACAAAATAAACGGTTATTAGTCGTATTATCACATAACACGCTATTATAATACATCGTTAAAAAAATACAAAACAGTCACAGAAGTGTTTAAGCTTATGAGTTAAGCATTATAAAGTATTCCATCAATTAGATACATTGGAGACACTGTATCCAAGATTCAAACCTAAATTAAGTGACAAAAAATTAAATAATAATAACACCCTTGATAAAATGATACAGAGTTAAGCAAAGACAGAACGAGAGGAATCGAACCGCTGATTTTAGCGTTGTAAATTTGAAGACTTGCCGCTGTCCCCCCGGTGGACAGACTGTTATGAAGACTACACAGGTAAACACACTTATTTTAATATAAACCTGATGACATGAAAAAAAAGAATGGCATACACCACTAACTTATTCTACTTCTACTATACACCAGCAAGTCATTAGAAAAAATAAAAATAAAATTGTTCAAATGAACGAAACCCATCCTCAAAATAAATTAAAAGATGAAACCTTAAAATAATAGATATCAATTAAATAACTAAAATTTTGTAGTGGTCTAAATAATATAAATTTGGGAATAAAACAGAATAAGTTAGAGTATCACATGAAACAAAAGCAGTACTATAAAAATCTCAGCCCGGCATGGGCAGGTGGTAAGGGTGCTTGACTTACAATCTGCGGGTCGCGGATTCGAATCCCCGTCCCACCAAACATGTTCGCCCTTTCAGCAGTGGGGGCGTTGTAATGTGACGATCAATCCCACTATTCTTTGGTAAAAGAGTAACCCAAGAGTTGGTGGTGGGTGGTGATGACTATCTGCCTTCCCTCTAGTTTTTCACTGCTAAATTAGGGACGGATAGCCCTCGTGTAGCTTTGCGTGAAATTCATTACAAACAAATAAGAACTTGAAATAACAAAAAAAAAAATCTTTATAACTTGAAATAGTAAAGACGACATTGCAAAAAAAGAAGTGTTACAAAACAAATGTTGCAGGTCATGCCTAAAGATGATTCGACCGACAAATAAGATTTTTTAAAAATAAATCTCTCACAAGCTCACTCTATGTCAATCATTTCACTTTTCTGGACAGTTTCGAATAAGTGAAACCATGTCAAACATCGCTGTAAATTTTAACCACTATAAAATAAAATTACCTTATGTTTTTTTTTATAGCTTAAATCTGAGCTGTGAACAATTAGATAAAAAATCCTAAGTAAGGACACATCCGTAGTCATAAAACCAGCAACCATAATATATGCAATAGATAAACAAATTATTTATCTGTTAAATATTTGGAACTCAGACGCACCAGTAGAACACTTCAAAGTTATGGGTTAAAGAGCATTTTAGTGAATCGTAGTTTATTATTCAAAGATAAAAGAAATAATATACTAACCCCCACGATACACGGTATAATTAAGTCTAAGTTTCTAGCGTTGTAAGTCTGCAGACATGCCGCTGTGCCACTGGGGGGGTCCTAAGTTTACCCTTAATGTCCAATATAACCAAAACAAAGTAATAATTCCGGCAACTTTATCTACAGTACGAATTGTTCGTTCACACTTTGGTGTGAACATTACGAGCAACACATAAAACGGCCACTTAATATTAAATAGTGCATCAAAAATAGATATTAACTAATTAATTCTTAAATTAAAACTAACATAATATACTGTTAAACTTCCAAATTTGATTACAGGTTTCTGCTCATAATGTCAACTGTTCTCTGTCACGAAAAGGACGTCTACCGCTATTTCTATATACACCCTCTGATGACCACTGGGCATCACATTCAGAATTAACTACAATAAGCGTTCACATAATTTTAGATGGATTATTAACAGTTGGGCGGCATAAAATGTACATTCACTTGTATAAAAAACACTTCAATATTTATCATAATTCAACCTATGTATATATATATATAAATGTGTGTGTGTGTGTGTGAAACTTTTAAGTCATAAGGGATGAAATTACCACACTCACAACCATATTGCTTTTAAAGCATTCTCTGTCCATCTTTACCACATATAGGGTAAAGTAAGGGTCAACAGTAGTAATGTCTCCTTTGTAAGACATTAAAAAAGATGTTGACTCACTATAGGCTCGATTAGCTGAATGGATCTTCTTAGTATTTTAAATGAACGAAAAAACACATTTTGGATACAACTGGAAAATTATAATTGCTTTTGCTCACTTTTATAAGTGATTTTTACATTGCAAAATTGTTTATGCGAGTAAAACATAAAATTTGATTATGTTAGATAAGTTTCCTACATAAAACTTTGGAGATCTCATTGAGTAAACTTGTTTCTAGGAAATGGAAAAGTTCACCATATCTTATTTTCTTTCTTTTCAGTTTCTCTGCAACACTGTTCAAATATTTTATCCCGAGTAATCAACTGTAAATGACTTCATGTTGATAACGCTTTTTCATGCTATTTGGTTCACCCATCACCGTACTTTAACGTTGCTTCTTTTGATCACCCCCTCAGACTCGACAGCCACTGCTGGAAAAGTCTCCCTCTCTATTTTTTTTCTATTTAGTGGTAATTTTAAGAGCACAATACTTCAGTTGGTACTTTCCCACCACATGTTAATAATATTTCTCTATATAGTGAGAAGGAAGTAAACATGAAATCAAATATTTATATAGAAACTATATTATAAAAGGTAGTAAATAAGATCAACCAACTCAATAAACATTAGAATATATATAATTTCAATTTACGATTCATTTGTTATTGTTTTAAAAGGCAAGAGTGATTTTATTGTATTTATTTTACAAATACTATGTCTATGAAGCGAGACGTGGCCCAGAGGCTAACGTACCCAAATTGTGAATCCAAGACTTTGTTGTTTTCAACTTCTTGCCATCGAAATGTACTCCATACTTTTGGCTGTGAGTGCGTTATAAGAGTGACGGCCAAATCCCATTATTCATTGAGACGGTTGGAGCCCATAAGTTGGAGGTGGGTGCTGTTGACTAGCTGCCTTCTCTCTGGTCTGTCACTTACAAATTGCAAACGGTTATGCACAGCTCTTGTGTAGCTGTTTCTTCGTTTATGATCATTCTTGGTAGTATAGCTAAGAATGCATATAAAAAAGAGCAGACAATTTCTATTTCCATTTAAGCTATATATATATATACATCCACTTAAAATTTCATTATGAAATGATAATATTCTGCCACAAGTAAAACATTGTTAATCCTTTACTCTGTTCTTCTTTAGTTTTAAATCATTTATTTGAAATACTTTTCAGTTCCTGCACCCTGCATACTTATCTAATTCACTTATAAACTCGATAAGTAATTAACTTTGGGACAAATATTTTTTAGATTATTGATGCAAAAATCTATATTCAAGAGGATAGGGCTGAAATACAAGAATAATGATGTAAAAACATTGAAGATTGATCTCTTGATTGACAATATGTTTTCAATAAACTGATGTGCGTACAAATATATTATTCACGTTAATACAAGTAAAAAATATTTCTCCTGTGATCCACTTTCGAAACCACAGGGGATATGTTTTAACTCAACAAACCTGCTTTTAATCAATATGTCATTTCGTGTTTAATTTTAGAACATGTATGAAATCCTTCAAGTATGTGTAAATTCAAGCTGAGTTTGAACATCATCGAATTTTTTTCTTCTTTTTTAAAGCATCCTTCTAAACCACAGTTCTATAGAAGTACAGCTTGTACTAAAAAAACAAAACAACAACATTGATCGAACAGACTTTCAGCTAAAATTTCATCATCATGAACAACAGTTTTTATGATGCAAAATTACCTAAACAGGGGATTACAGGTTCTTTTTCGTAATTCTTAAAAAAAAATTATGCTAGATTGAAAATAAGGAACATCAGAGTATCGTTTTCTTATAGCTATTGTTAAAAATATACAAAATGTGCAACCCAGCAAGTCACTTGACAATCACAGCTGATATAAAGTCCGATTGAAAGGCATGTATTAAAACTACATTTTGGTATTGTTTGGTGGTTCGAGGGTAGTGTGATGAAACTCAAAATTGATAACTTTCAGAAGGGTATACAACAGCACTTTCTTATTTAAATATTCACACACACTGAGACCATAACGATGAATTTATGAAGGAGATTTAGAATCTCCAAGACAAGAATATCCATTTATATGAATCAACTTGGGATAATAGGACCATCCAAAAAGCTACATACAACAAGTTGTACCTCAGGTGTGGTAAGCAAAATGCAGCGTTTTGGAACAAGAAGGATATTGTCCGGAAGAGTGACACAAATCATGTGGACATACTTTGCTTCTACGACATATCCGCTCACCAGTGGAGTACCCCAACCAGCTAAAAAATAAAACGTGTATGCGTACTATTCCACTCAAAGACATACCGTTCAAGTCGCCAGATGCAGTGCATATATTTCTTTGAGATCGGACTGCTGAAATGGGCGCTGAAAATTTGTCGTCTTCGTACATTAGATAGCTTGTGGAAAGCATGCAGGAAGTAGTGGCGTGTTATCGACATGATAGCTTACATTGCAGGTTATTTTCAAGACAGAGCCTGACTGGACATGGCGACATGGACTATAATGACATAGTGAGACTCCAAAATCGTCTTTTTATAATGTACTCAACCTCTGTATGAGAGTAAAATTCCAAAAAAAACGTGTATATTAAAGAATTTTATCTCATCATCTGTTAATATACTTGTTTAAAGGAAAGTTTAGACAAAGGAGACTTCATTGTATTGGAAACTTTTGTTAACTAATTTGTGTTGATTTCACTTGATGATATGACCTTTTTTCGTTATGTTCATCTAAAGTTCCCTTTTTGTCGGATTCAATAATCTAGTGGCATTTTACTGTTTCTTTATCCTGTGAGGTATTGTTCATCCAGATTCTTCAGTGTACGTTTCTGCATAGGAGTGAGATATCTGCTTATCTTTGCACGTCAGATATTTTACTTTTGAAACTATTTTTGAGTGTTTTACTGGATTTGAAATAAACTTAAATGTTAATGTTTTTATATATCCTTTTCAGAATCTAGCTTAATTTAGGAATACGTGGTAGGATGATAGTACTTAAAGTATTCATTTGAGGGTTTAATAGAATGGAGGCTTTTTTCCCAGAGGTGTGGATGAAATTGCAGGGATAGCTATTGGTTTGAATGTTTTTCTTAAGGTGGTATTTTTCTTCTTGAAGTTGACTTTTACCGCAGACTTTTCTGGACGTGATCAAAGAAGCATTTCATTATTCCATGTTTAACAGAGAGAATGTGGATAGACAAGAAGTGTAGATACTTGTCCCAGTGTGTTAGTCTTCTGTAAACAAACATGGCGAGCTCGTGGTCCTTCCTGTTGGTGAAGAATAATGTCTAGAAAAACAAGGGCAGCATTTTCTAAAGACTGAATGGTGAACTTTATTTTGTGGTCATAGGAATTGAAATAAGGTGGAAAATATGATAAACATCTGGATTGTCGGACTCTGTTACGAATGTTTCATCAACATTCCTTTTGGTCAGTCTCAGAGGAACAGACTGATCGTAAAACTTTGGTTTTAAAGTCTTCCTTACTTGGACAAAAGTTCAACTGTACATACAACGAAAACTTCAAACATTTATAATAAACTAAAATTAGCTTCCTCTCCAATTTCCATGTTATAAGTATGTGATAAAATAAAATAAATTATAGATTTAAAAAAATGCACTTCTTGTGTTAGAGGGGTCGAGTTACCTAAAATACTGGATAAAACAGACCCCAAGATGCGATAAATTGTCTACTATCTAATTCATAACAATTACAATTTAAAATAAATTGTGTTTTTAATAACTGCATTCAAGTCACTTGAGTTATAATTCATGTGATCCTGGCAGAAATCGGGAAGGCCGTGTGTTATACACAAGTTGCACTTTAACTAGGACAGTGGTACAAATGAACGTGAGTACAAACTAACATAAGGAATGAGGCATATTGGTGCCGATGTCTAAGGTGGAAACATAAGTCGTTGGTGTGGGGTAAGATGACCACGTGGGTGGGAAGAGGACTTCTTATCCTAAGCCACTCATCGTAACGAAATAGCACGTTATAAAAAAAAAAACAGCGAATTTGAACTGTGTTTCTTTTTACGGCGTATTTGACTGTCTATAATTCCTCACTGTTTGAAGTTAACAAAGCGAAATTCCATGAAACATTTACTTTGTATATTTTAAAAATTCAAAGTGTTTATCTTAAATCAAACTTGTTCAAAAGCAAAAAAATTAAAATTGTGTTTTGCTCAATCGCCCCCGTCCACCATTTTGTATATATACAGAGTCATGTGTTTGTTTTTTATTTCGCTCAAGGCTACACGATGGCTATCTGCACTAGCCGTCCCTAATTTAGAAGTGAAAGACTAGAGCTAGTCATCACAACCCACCGCCAACTCTTGGGCTACTCTTTTACCAACAAATAGTGGGATTGATCGTCACCTGGTTTCTAGCGTTATAAGTCCGAAGGGACTTTTTTGCTGAAATTCATAATTGCGATGATGAGATAAAATATTGCAAACATTTTTTTTTTTTTTTTACTTGGCTCCAGCAAATTACGAGTAGTTTTGCTCTACACCAAAATTATATCACAGTAAGCCAACTCTATGATAATCTTATAATGGGTAATTCTGAGCAAATCAAGTAAATCCAAAATATATGTGTATATAATCTAATAATAAATATACACCTTACAGTTCCAAGTTCGTTTATAACTTCTTAATGTCTACTTCAAAAATTTATAGCTGTGTAAAAACATTATTTGTACTTCAAAAGGAGAAACACTTTTTGAAACACCTATAATGACTTAGTTTGAGACACAAAACGCGTCTTAAAGAAGAAGAAAAACATATTAAATATAAATATAAAACATTGGTAGCTCAAATTAAAACGTTGACGTTTTGATTTGACACCAGTAAATACAAGTAAGCATTTCGAATGCCTCAACTAAAAACAATACGATGCTTTAAATTAAAATGTGCTTCAAAAGAAATGGTTTTAATATATTATGTGAATTTACTCAATGCTGTGTAATAGTTAAGGGCCGTTTGTTTGTTTGTTTGTTATATAACAAAATCTACACAAAGAATACCTTTACTGTGCACACCGCAAGGACTTAGCACCGAATTTTAGCGTTATAAGTCCGGAAGATTTCCGCTAAGCCATCATGGGGCAGATTGGGGCCGAACATGGCTAAGTGGTCAGCGTGCTGAACTATGGAAAACATTTTGTGGATGCGTGTGGTCCTGGCTGTCTGTCCTTTCTGTGGCCATAGAGTCAAAATTAGGAATGCCTATTCCTGATATTTAGCAGTCTTTGACAACATAGATGAGGTTTAACTTATGCCGGTTTATTTTTGCTCATAACGTTAATACTGACGAAAGAATGTGTGTTTTCCAGATAAAATTTGAAAGAACCCAAGAAAAACATTACATTATAACCTTGAAGTTTACTCAAGGAAAAATATATTTTGTGTTTGGATTTTTAAAGCCGATTACTTTGCTCTCTGCTTTTCATATTGCTTAAATAAATTTTGATGCATCTATGACGCAATTAATCGTGTCCAAAAGGGAAAATTTCATTTTGCATGCGAACGACTCTTTGCGAAGGAATTTAGTTTAATAATCATCTGATCAGCTTTGATACCCTTTTTAAGTGTTACGATCTTCAACAAAAAAAAATTAACCCATTAACTCAAAAGACCCTTGCTTTTATGTGGCCGAGTGAAAAGAAAAAAAGTTAGATTTCTTAAAAGATTTCTTTTCTCTTCCTAAGAAACATTGCGCATATGCACAATTAATAAACTTTCTTTGCTGCGCTAACAGCAACTTTAATTAAATACACAGTAACATCGTTATGTTTCTACATGACGCTACAAACGCATGAATTGTTGATGGCTTAGTCTCTAATATGCGGTTTAGTTTCCATAGTGAATACTAAAGAAGTTTCTCAGAAACCTACTCGTCATTAAGTTGTTGTTTCTTTATTTTTCCATATAAAGTATACTAAATCTTTCTTTAGATTTACACAATAAAGACGTGATTATATATTCTTTTATTACATGAAAA